CCCCAAAACCCCAAAACCCCAAAACCCCAAAACCCCTGAGCCTAAAGAGATATTGAAAATATTACTAAGCGTTCGAATGGCTGTGGATGGGCAGCATTCTTCAACTTTTGCCGCAGAAACTGTCTGCTGCTTCTTGGCTCAGGTGGGCTTTCTCTTGGGAGGCGGTATGAGAGTCGTCTTTGGCAGTGGGGATGATTTCTAGGTTTCGGTATTTTTGGTTAGTGGCTGGGAGGTTGCTTGGCCTTGAGAGTGAAGACCTTGATTCGTTGAATTCGTGATTGTTTGGGTTAGGAGGTAGGTGGTAGTCGATGTAGCCGAGGTTTTGGTGGTCTCTGGGAGCCTAGATTTTAGAAGGGTTTGAGTACGGTTTTAGAGGGGAATTTGTCCTTTTGGGTGCACTTTCGAGAGGCTTTATGTTGAGTTCTAGGCCTTTGCTTCAAGTACCTAATCTTCTTCGCAATTCTAACTTCCTTCCTCAATTTCCTCTGAAAACTCACTTTAGCCTTCTGCTGAATATTCCAATCAAAACTTACAAAATCCCTGTGCTTCCTATAGTAAACTCAACACCATCCCAACACAGCTCCAAAAACAACACCTAGCCCCCTATAGAGACCTCCCCCAAAATAATATCTTTCCCTATCCCCCACAGAACTGCCTACCCTCTTCCTCCACAGTCACCCCAATCGCCCTTATTCCTCCTCCCAGCCCCCTCCCAGCCGACTCCTCCAGCCCAAATTTTAGTAAATTTTTTTAACCCAGCTAAAATTTTAGAATAGAAGAAAAATACTAAATTTGTAGTAGAAAATTGGGGGATTTTCCAGTAGAGGAGGGAAATGGAGTACTTACCTTAGCATCTTTGACTTTATTTGTTCGTGGAATTTATTATGTTGACTGGAGATTATGGAGGGAGGTACCGGTAGCGTTTTGGTTTATGAGGAAGTTTAGCTCGAATTTTCGACGGTTTTGGGAGGCTTTTGTGGAGGATTTTGTGGGGTTGGGTCCGGGATTGTTTGGGGCCAGGGAGGTAGTGCTCTTTGGGGGGACCTGGAAGTATCGGGGGTGTGTGCTTTGAGAATTATGGGTTACCTGATGAGCAAGTATCTCGGAAATATCTTTATTTTGAAGAAAATTGTTCGCTTTATGAATATCAAACTCTCCGATGCCTAGATCTAAGACTAAAATAATTTACTTTGACTTTTATTTAAGCATGACCGGCATACGAACCGACTGTTGCTTATTTGAGGTCTGCTGAATTTTTATTTGGCCTAACTATGATAAAATATATACCATCTTTGGAGAGACCTCTTCTGTTATCCTTCTCCTGATCTCTATTAAAATTGCCTTTCGCTAGATTCTCTTTCATAAAAGAGAAAGTTGAGGAAGAACTTCTCGGTCTGAACTTCATTTGATATAACTCTTTGATATTATTTTCGATTTTTATTTATCTTCTTATGACGCTCATGGTCAATTGAGTCAAGGAACAGCTCGAGGTTGTGCTTTAAATGATTCATTTTCTCCTGTTCATGAAATCTCTAAAATGTCTGAGGGATATAAAGACTACCTCAGTGGCTAAGGTCTTCTCTGTGTGGCTCCTGATCGCCTAAAATCTACCTTTGGATAGCATTACCTCTTGTAAGTGATGTCTCTGGTAAGGATTTCTGTATGAAATGACTCAAATACCTTACCTAATATCTTTAAAATTATTTGTAAATATTGAAAGTTTGTCCGGGTTTGAATTCCTGAGGACATTTTCGTGGATCTGATCCAAATCTTGTTGACAAAGACTACCAGTGACCTACTATATTTACTCATAATTACTCTAAATTTAGGTCTGAGTGCTCAATTGCTTTTCATTGTAGTGGGAGCTCTGCTCCAGCTTCCTTGGATTGTTTCTCTAGTCGGGATATTAGAACAGTCCTTACTGCTGATTTGAAGCTTTACTCATCTGGCAACTGCTGTTCTTTGTATGAGAAGTAGAGCTTTTCCCTAAAAAATTTAATAATGCTAAGAAGAAGAGTTATACCTGATTTGCGGCTTTTAGGCTTCTTTTTCTTGAAAACAAATTCTTTCTTCCCTAAGAGCTTCAAGCTCTTTAGAGGAATATCCTCTGCAGCATCGCCTAGAGGTAATACAGAATGACTTACTCTGATGCCATTGAGATGTTTGATGAGAAGACATTTTCTAAGAAATTTAATTTCAATAATCTCTCAAGGAATCGGGGTTTTGGGGTTTTGGGGTTTTGGGGTTTTGGGG